CCCCCTGGGGGTGGGGGGCTCGTTCACACCGACCCCCTGGGGGTGGGGGGCTCGTTCACACCGACCCCCTGGGGGTGGGGGGCTCGTTCACACCGACCCCCTGGGGGTGGGGGGCTCGTTCACACTGACCCCCTGGGGGTGGGGGGCTCGTTCACACTGGGCCCCTGGGGGTGGGGGGCTCGTTCACACTGACCCCCTGGGGGTGGGGAGCTCTTTCACACTGGGCCCCTGGGGGTGGGAGGCTTGTTCACACTGACCCCCTGGGGGTGGGGGCTCGTTCACACTGGGCCCCTGGGGGTGGGGGCTCGTTCACACTGGGCCCCTGGGGGTGGGAGGCTCGTTCACACTGACCCCCTGGGGGTGGGGGCTCGTTCACACTGGGCCCCTGGGGGTGGGGGCTCGTTCACACTGACCCCCTGGGGGTGGGGAGCTCTTTCACACTGGGCCCCTGGGGGTGGGAGGCTCGTTCACACTGACCCCCTGGGGGTGGGGGCTCGTTCACACTGGGCCCCTGGGGGTGAGGGCTTGTTCACACTGGGCCCTGGGAGTAAGGGGCTTGTTCAGACTGGCCTGGGGGTTTCTCACTGGCTCACATGCAGTCCACTGAGGACAAGTCCCTGGGCCTCTTGGCCTCATGTGACTTCCACACACACTTTAGGAGCTGACAGGGGTTTGACCAGGCTGCCACCCTGCCTTGGGCCCTCCATTCTCAGATGGAGATGTGAGACCAACAGGGGAAGGAACCCCACCTGGTGCTAGGCACCTCCTGGCTGCACCCGCTTCCTGGCCACTGGAAGGCTGGGCTTGGAGAGGGTGAGACGCTGGTGGGGCTGGACCCAGGCCGAAAGCCTTCCTGGACAGCCCTGCCCCTCTAGAAGAAGGGGCCCAGGTTGGGGGTCACAGCCAAGAGGTCCTGGGTCCAGCCCCACCTGGCTCTCTGCCTTTGACCCCAGGCAGGATCTGACTTCAAGGAGCCTGGGGGCCTATGGTGCTGGGTCTGGACTCCGTGCCCCTGGCATTTCCCTTGCTCCCCCCCCCAGGCTGGGGGCAGCCCTGAGGCACCAGGGCTCAGCACCCCTTGGCTGGCCACCAGGTCCGGCTGCCCCCCGAGGCCCTGCGGAGCCCACGAGCTTCTGCATGGGAGGATGAATGGCATTCCAGCAGAGGGCCGGCAGGCATGCAGTGGGGCCGGTTTGGTCACTGCCCAATGTCCCCGGCAGCCTTGTATAGGGTGGAACTGCTGATCAAACACACACCCCCTGGTCTACTCAGTGCCCAGCCTGGCACCCACAGAGCCTGGCCTAGCCCCAGGTCCCAGAGGAAGGCCCACCAGGTGGGCTTTTCCGGGGGCATGTACCCCTTGGAGAGGGAGGACAGGAGGTAGCGGGGTGGGCAGAGGGGGCTCCGCTGGCTCTGAGTCCAGGTCTTGCCCCTTCCTGACCCCCCTGCCCAGGCAGCCTCTGGCCTAATCCCCAGGTGCTGCCTCAGTTTCTCCATCTGGAGACGAGACGTGGCCCCGCTGGTGGGGCCGGGCAGCAGCTTGGCAGGCTGCCCTGTTTCCCCACAAGATGGTAAGAAAATCCGCGGTGGTGGCCGCAGCAGAACCTCAGTCCTACTACTCCCACAGGGGCAGGAATGAGGAAGGAGCTTGCAGTGAGCCAAGGCCCCAGTGCCCAGACTGTACTTGGGTCTTGGCCGCAGTTCAAGCCTGCCAGCCAGCCCAGCCCTCGCCTCCCAGTCATGCTGCACAACCTCCAAGGGGCCCCCACCTTCCTGGGGCGTGGAGCCCACACTGCTCCCCTGGGCTGGGAACCCACCTGAGCCCTGGCCCAGGTTCTGCACCTAAAGCCAGGATTTCGGAGATGTGGCCTCAGCCAGCCCCATGGTGGCGCCTTCTCCTGGCCCTCAGGTCCGGCCCACCTCTTCTTTGCTGGCCTCTGCACCCAGCAGGGGCCTCCTAGTGCTCACACTAACCCAGGCTGTTCCCTCATCCACCTGCCTTTCCACTCCACAGTGCATGAGTCGGACTGCCATGCCAAACACAAGGCAGAGTGAGTCTTTCCCAGGCGAGACTGAGCGGCGGTGAGGGCAGACATTCTGGAAGCATGTTTGTACTGTCCACTCATTCCTTCATTTACTCACTTGTTCAGGCCCTGGGCTGCCCCTCGGTCTGGGGGTGTTTGCTCTGGCCTCCCGCTCCCCTTCCCCACGGCAAGGTGGGCGGTCCACGTGCAGGTGCAGTCGGCTGATGTGGCAACCTGGGAGCAAGGCGAGGCCTTGAAGGGTGGAGTGAGGCCTCAGCTTCCAATTCCGCAGAATGAACGGAAGAACCCAGGCCCTGCCCAGCCCAGCCTGGGTGCCCTCTGCCCACCCTCTGCTCGGCCCAGTGCTGCCCCCGCCACTGCCCAGCTGCTGCTGGAGGCCAGGGCTGCGGGGGGCCTGTTACTGTTCAAGGCCCTCCACTGGCCCGTTCTGGAAGCATGTCTGTACTGTCCACTCTACTGTCCGGCGGAGAGGCTAGGCTATCTCCCCAGGGCACCCTTCAGGGTCCGTGGTGGCCCACTGTCCCACCGCCCCTCACCCACACCATGCATCCCATGAAGCCTGTCTTCTCCAAGCCCACTGGGGGACCAGCTCACTCTCCCTCCCCCTCTGATCTAGCTCTCCCCGCCCTTGGACGGCTCCCCCATTCCTGAACTGTTCCTGCCCCCAAGCAGGCCAAGGCCCTGTTGGAGACTGAGTCCACCCCCCACGGGGTGCAGTACCCCTCCCCCACAGCACTGAGCACTGGCTTCTTTAACAGATGGGAAAGCTGAGGCCCAGAGAGGTCACAGACCTGCTCGAGGCCACAGAGCGACTAAGTGGGAAGGGGACAGCGAAGGCGGGGCTTGGAGAGGTGACAGAACAAGAAAGACTGGGTTCCAAAGTAGCAGGTGAGCTCTGGGTTAGACATCAGGATGAACTTCCTGACTCCCTGGGCTGAGAGGCATGGGGGGCGGTGAAGGAGGAGGAGCCGTGGGACCAGTGGTCAGAGGGGATAGAGGGCCAGGGAGGCAGAAGAGGGAAGTCGAGGAGCTGAGTCACCCTCCCCCAAACAGCAGAAGTGCTCCCCAGCAGGCACCCTCTACCCTCTCTTGGGAAGCGGGTCAGGGGGCGCCGGGCAGTTCAGCTGGACGTCTGTCTCAGGTCACACCTGCTGCTGCTCTGGCCCAAGCTGGTGCCAACCCTCCTTTTCTGGACTCTGCCTGCCTTCTGCCTGTTCTTTGGGTCCTTGGTCTGGCAGGAGACCCAAAGAGAGCTCAAAGGGCTACCCGGCCTTGGTGCCCAGGGCCCTCGGGGACCACAACTGTGAGTCTTGGAGGGCCCGAGAACTACGGGCCCAGCACACCTGACAGCACCGAGCAGAGGCCAGCGTGGGGGTGGGCAGATGCCTGGTGAGGAGACCCAGGGCCACCAAAGGCTCACGTGAGTCGACGTGACGCCGGGTGAGCCGTGCCCAGGTCAGAACCAGCAGGCCCCGTCACTTCTGAGAGCCCTGCCAGCCCACCCATGCCACCCAGAGCCAGTGTCTGATGCCTCCAGGCTGCCTGACCCGTTCCGTGTGGCCACTCACCTCCGAGCCGCTGACTGGGGTTGGGGTTGGGGGTGAGCCATGCAAGGGAGCAGTTGCAATGGGGGGCACACAGGCCGAGGGTCAGCATCCTCCCACCCTACCGCAGGCAAAGGGCCGATGGCTGGCAGGAGGGGCAGGGATGCCATCCACATGTCTTCCCAGGGCCTCGCTGTCTCCCATGGGCAGGCCACCCTAGAGGTGGAAGGGTGTCTGGCAGCCTAAGCCAGAGGGTGACCTCTAGGACCTGGGTCCCTCTGTGAGCAGCCCGGTGGAGGGGCCTGGCTGGCAACACTGGCGTCTGCAGTTCTGAAGCACCTGCCCCAAGCTGCCCACGAGGGTGCTGCCAGCCTGGGCCACAGCGGGCCATCTGCTGCCTCCCCTGTGTGTCTGACTCCCGCCGTCCCAGAGCCCGCTGGGGGCCTTGCCCAAGTCCCTCACCTGGTTTCTGGCTCCGATCCTCCCTCTGACCCCGCGCCCTGCTCCCACCAAGCCCACCAGGACGTGGCCTCCACCTACTCACACAACGACAGCACAGTTCCTCCATCCTCATCGCCGCCGAGAGCCTCAGGGCCCGGAGCTGGGAAGGATCTCGTGGGGCCCCAGAGCTGAGTCTAAAATGGAGTTATCCTTTCACTGGCCCCCAGGCCAGAATGGGGGTGGGGTGGAGCCTGATAAATGAACAGGCCCTTTCAGCCCCTTGACCCACCCAGGCTGCCATAGAGGGAATAGGGGCTGGGGACGTGGTAGGGTCTGGAACCAGGTTTTGGGGTGCTGGGGTGTGGTCGATCAAGGCTCTAGAGCTGCTGGTATCTAAGCTGAGGCTGGAAGGAGAAACGGAAGGAAAGAGAAAAGTTGGGAGGGAGGCAGGAGGGGGGCTTGAGGTAAAGGGGTGGATGTTCCTGGAACCGGTGTGAGGCCTGGGGTCAGCTGAAGGGACCATAGAGTGAGTGTGGAGTCAGGGGACAGGGGTGGGAGGAGTGGGACTTGGAGAGGCGCCCTCAGCTGACAAGGTTCTGGAAGATTCCAGAAGGACAGAGGGGTTTCTCGAATGGAGGGCCACGTTTTCTAGCTTTTGCCGTAGCTCTCATGGCCCCCATCCCCACGGCTAACATAGTCCCATACCCCATGGACAAAGAACCTGTGTGCCCCCTGGGCTCTCTGGCACCCCAGGGGAGACGTGTGTCCATAATAGTCAGCAGGTGGGAGTGTGGGAGCAGTCTGCGCACTGGGACCTCTTCTGAGGCTGCTCCTGGCCCCCTGAAGCCGCCCCTGGGCTCGGGTCTCTGGAGCCTTGGGTGACCAGAGGGTTTTCAGGCCTTGGGCAGTTTTATGGGAGGGGCCCCTCCTCCTGTGGGCCTCGGGGCCTCTGTGGACTGGGGCTTGCCCAGGGGTTCTCACCAGAGGGCCCTGAGCTCCCCTGGCTGGCCCTGGCTGCCGAGGGACAGGCATGGGCTTGCTGACGGGTCCCCACATGGAGGGTGACTAATGCCACCTCCCTGCCTGGTTCCCAGGAAGACGATTGATCAAATCTCCATGAAAGCCCTCTGGGAGTGGAGGACAGTGGGTGGTGGCAGGGCTGAGTCACCAGACGGCCCTCTGCAGAGTGGGGCATGCCCCTCCATCAAAGAGGCTGGTGCCAGGAAAGTCTGCTGCCACCGAAGCCTGCCAGGCCCCCCACTTCGGTGGCTGTGGGGACTTCCCATGGGAGCAAGGAGGTAGGCCTCAGGTATATAAGGCCTTTCTCAGGACCCAAGCTGCTGGAAGGAGTGAGCTCCCTGTCACTAGAGGAATTCAAGCATGGTTTGATTGCTACGTGGTGAAGAGGGATGTCTGCGGCCTCATGGTGTGTGGTTCCGTGAGTCTCAGATGTGTGTCTGTGTGTTTCTACCTGGGATTCCAGGAGTTCTGTGGTTTGAAACGTTCACAGCTCTGGACCAGGTTCCTACTGGGTGTCTGGTGCTATGTCAGCCAGGGTACAGCAGGGGCCAAGACAGGCAGAAGTTCTGTCCTTGGGGAGTTGACGTCTAGACGACCCACAAGACAACAGACATTTTTCATGAAGGTGATAGGCGTAATGAACAGTAATGGATACATCTTCCAAACCACGCCCACTGCCCTGGAGTCCATTCTGACCCACAGCGCCCCTAGAGGACAGAGTGGAACTGCCCACAGGGTCTCCAAGGCTGTCAACCTTTATGGAGGCCAGCTGTTTTATTTTTCTCCTCTGGAGCAGCTGGTGGATTTGAACTGACAACCTTTTGGTTAGCAATCCAGTGCTTTAACCACGGCGCCACCAGAGCTCACTCAAGATACATCCCAAGAGAGAGCAGTCCCACCTGAGGACAACCAGGGCTGTGTGAGACCCGAGGGGTCGGCCACTGTGAGATGGCTGAACCAACCCCTGACGGAGGTAAGTGTTGGGGATGTCACGGGCCGCTGGTGAGGCTGAAACAGGGTGGGGGCGAGAGCGGGAGGAGCTTTGGTTGCACAAGGAGTGGGGTCCAGCTCATGGGGCCTCATGGCCACGGTCAGGACATGGGCTCTCCTCCCTGTGAGCCAGAGACGCTGCAGGTTCTCAGCAGAGGAGAGACGTGGGAGTGTTTTCTTTTCAATTGTGGTGAAATGTAAGCATCGCTGGCCGTGCTGTTGCATCGTTAGCTGTGTCAGTGGCCCGGAGTCGCTCTGCCCCCTGCGCCCTTACTCACAGGAGAAGCAAGGGCTGCTCACGCCACACCATCCTCACAGTGGTCGGCGTGTCGGGGCCCACGTTGCGGCTGCCCGCCGAGTCGACCCCCTCCTGAAGGGTCTCCCTCGAGCTCGCTGACCCTCTTCTCTGCTGACCATCATGTCCTTCTCTCACAAGCGGCCTTTCCCTGAGGCTGTGTCCACGGTAACCGAGCAGGGCCAGAATGTCACTTGTCCCTGTCCCCTGTGGCTAAGCCACATTCCTTCTGACACGAGGCGTCCCCTGACCAGGAAAGAGTTACTTCTGACACTGAGTTAGATTTTAATAGGGTTCGCCTGGCTGCTGGGCAGAGAAATGATGCCATGAGCCCCTCCCACGTGCACCCACGGCACTTTACAGTTTACAAAGCGCCCTATGACTGTGACTAGGCTCAAAACCAAACCAAACTCACTGCCATGGAGTCGGTCCCCCACTGGGTTTCCAAGGCTGTCCATCTTTACTGAAGCAGACTGCCTCATCTTCCTCCCTCAGAACAGTTGGGGGTTTGAACCACCGACCTTCTGGATAGCAGTCACATACGTGTCTTACACATTATGCCACCAGAGCTCCTTGTGACCAGTCTCGGCCTTCCGAGTTTTCCAGGGATGTCATGGATGGGGCTGCGGAGCTGCCTGCCTCACCCCCCTCAAAATCACTAAAACCTCCCAACCTGCATGCACCCCCAGCCACCACCAGCCCTCTCTGGGGCTCCTCACAGGGGTCCCCGCTGCCGTCAGCCCTGCCCATGTTGGCTCCCGATCCCTGACCTGCTTTCCAAGGTCACCAACCTCGTCCCCACACCTCTCCCAAGGCCTGGCAGTACCCTCCTGGCCTCTCCACCCATCCCTGAGGGTCCCGCCAGTGGCCCCCAGACACAGCCTCGGCTGGCCCCCTCCCCCTTTTTCTGTGTCCTTGGCTGCCATGGTCAGCGACTTTCTTGATGTCCCAGCTCCTTGGGAGAACTGTCCCCTGAGCTTGCCCCTCCCCATCTAACAACCCACCTGCGGTGTGTCCCCTGCCCCTAGGGCTGCCCACTCCAGTATCTCTCCTTCCCCCAACCCTCACTGACACCCCTCCCTGAGGGTCCCCCAGATGCTGCCCTCATCCAGTCATGAGAACCTGTAGCCTGAGTGTGCCCAGGGCCACCCAGCGGACGCCCTGCCCCATCACCTTCCTCCATCAACACGGCTATGCCCCAGCCACGCCCTCAGACCCCCCGGGGGTCTCCACCGCACCCAGCTGCTCCCTGTGGCGGGGACACTGCCTCCCTCCAGCTCCCTCCTGGCCACCCGGCAGCCTGAGCCGGACATGCCGGTGGTGTTAGGTGCTCAGGCCACCCCACCATTGCACCATGCTGCCCCCATCTATGGTGGAAGCTCATCTTTATTGCTAGTGAATGAAGAGGGGAGGGCTCAGGCAGCCTCCACCTCCCTCCTAGACTCCTTGCCCCCTTCCCACTGCCCTCCAGCCTAAGACGTCTGCCCGTCTGGGTGTGAGCTGTGGCCACCCTGCCCACCGGGTGCTGATAGGCCTCCAGGCCTCCAGGATGGACAGCCTTAATCCCTTAATCATTTTCTGATACCTTCCAGCCTCCTGTCTCTGGGAAAGAAGTCAAAACTTGGCAGGAGACCTGGAGCGCCAGGACCAGGCATTGCACAACCCCAGGAGGGGCGGGGTGCAGGGGGAGGGATCCCCGGGGACACCGGCCTCAGTCTATTTTTAGCTGGGAGCAGAAAACTCACCCCAACGCACATAACATGCAGCACAAGTATTTGTTTGCATTCTTAAAAGGGCTCTGGTGGCAGGTTTGGGCCCAAGGCACATGCTCGTTGAGTCATGCCTGCTGGAGAAACTGGCTGTCCCACCCACCACTCAGTGCAGCCCTCACAGCCCCACCTACCTGCAGCTCATCCTTCTCCCAGGCAGCGTCCACCCCGCCTTCGAGCAAGGGGTCACCTGCCCAGACCACCCTCCTTCTGCCCCCTTCACTCGATGGAGCCCCAGCATCATAAGGCCCCATGCAACTCCTCCTCTGCCAGGAATCCTCTCCTGCTTGACTTTCGTGTAGCCATGGAACTGGGCTCTGTGAGCAGTGTCAGGGAGATGTCTCTGTTTGGGGGTATCATTCTGTTCGGTGTTGGCTCCTATGCTGGGCCCAGGGAAACAGACACCCCAAGGGTCGAAGCCTCCAAGGGGTAGGGACAGGAGCATTTGGCGCCACACGAGAGTGGCAGGCAAGGTGGACAGCCATGCTGGAGCAGCAGGCTGGCAGGGAGCAAGAGACAAGATGAGTTTCCTGGAGGTGCCGTGACAAAATACCACAACCTTGGGGTCCAAACTCAGTGGAACTGTATTCCTGGACAGTTCTGGAGGCCACAAGTCCAAATTCAGTCTCAAAGTCAAGGTGTTGGCAGGGCCATGCTCCCTCCGGAGCCTCTGTGGGGGAATCTGCTCCCTGCCTCTTCTAGCTTCTCTGGCTGCTGGTGTTCCTTGGCTGGTGGCCGCATCACTCCAGTCATCAAGGCCAGCATCTTCAAGGCTCTCTCTGCTCCATTTTCGAGTCTGTGTGTCTGTGTTGTATCTCCCTCTGCTGCCCTCATTTAAGGGCACGTGGATGGCAGGTAGGGTTTGCCTGGGTAATCCAGGACAGTCTTTCCATCTCAGGATTCTTAACTTCATCACATTTGCAAAGACCCTTTTTGCACAAGGTTAAACTCACAGGCTCCAGGAGTAGGACCTGATGAGACCTTTGGGGGCTATGATTCAGCCTACTGCAACAGCTTTGGCTGCATAGCTCAAGGATGCCTTCGGAGGTGGCTCCTCCTGAGCACAGGATAAAGGAGGGTCCACCAGGATGCAGCCCACTGGACCGCATCCAAACTTTGGGTTTGTGGGAGAAAAACAGGGACCATGGCCACCAGGTATGATCATGGGTTGGGTTTACCCATGGACTACACTGGGGTTAACTGGGCCTAGGTTCAAATCCTGGCTCTCACACTCAAGGGTTGTGTGTACCATCAAAGTACTTGACCTGTGAGCCTGGCTGAGGTCCTCACAGCCCACACCTGCAAGAGCTGCCCTGGTTATCAGCAGCAAGGGGTATTGGTGTGCAGACTTCTAATAATTGGTGATTCTAATCACTAGTGTCCTCTGGTCTGTCCCTGTCCTAGCCCCTCTGCCCAGGGACTGTCTGGTTCACCCCACTCTTGGCCAAAGTTGCCTTGGTCCTATCCCTCACCACCTATGGGGTGATTGAGGCCCTGCTAACATTAGGACCCAGGGTCTTTTCCCCTAGGCACTGCATCCTAAACACGTGGAGAGCCCTTCCACCTCTGCCTCCCGGCCCCACCTCAGCACGATTCCCTCCCTGACTCTGTACCTTCCCCCGCCGGCCTCTCTGCTGCCACGGAGCGGCCTTCCAAGTCAGGGGCCACAGAAGAGTAAGCTTGGCAAAGGGCCCAGCTGTAAAAACACATGGAAACCATACAGAGCTGACTCCAGGGTCCCACGCAGGGAGCTCAGGACTCAACCCCAAGCAAAGGCCCTCAGCAGCCTGGCTCTTGGCTCCTGCAAAGCCCTGGGGTGGCCGGGATGGGCATCCCCTAAAGCCCCAGGCAAAAGCGAAAGGCAGGAGACCAGGGAGACCGAGCTTTCCCTCAACGGCCTGTGAAAGACGTGTTTCAGAAACGCTTCACCAGCTTTTAGGTGAACTGCTTACCTCCACCAAGGTCGCCAGTCAGGGCAGGTGGTACAAGGAGTGCTGTGTTACCTGGGACGCAGGTCGGCTTACCTGGGCGGTGATGGATCGATCCACCTGCCATTTCCTAGGAGATGCAGGGCTTCTGCCCTCCGTGGCTGGTGTCACCATGGAGAGGGGACATTCTGCAGAGTAAGGCAAGTTGTCGAGGCGGGTTAGGCCTAGTGAAGGTGGAAGGCTCAGCCACGATCCATCTGATGGGGCTGACAGCTCAGCCCTGCCCTCCTCCCAGCCCAGCCCCAGGCCTTCTGGGCACACCTTGTGGGGTGAAGAGGCACTGGGACTACCCACCGGGGAGACCAGACATGGAACCATGTGAGGACCAGGGTCCAGACGAGTGCCTGGGTGGAGGGGGCTGCAGACACAGGAGGCTTTCAATGGCAGACTTGGACCTTCACGGTTTGACTGGTGGCAATGTGGGGGACTTCTGGACCCAAGGGCAAGGGCAGATGAGTGCAGGGAGCTCCAGGTGAGCTGGGAGTTTCGGAGGCTGATGGCCTCTCAGCCAGGAGGGTTCCAGAGTATGAGGACCTCGGCAGCTAGGCCTAGATCCCCGAGCCCCTCACTAGCCCTCAGACCTCTCTCAGCCCAGCTGGCTTCCGGAAGAGTCTACCTGAGGAGCACGGAAGCCACCTGGCGTGGTCTGACGTCTCCAGGAGTCAAGCCCAGTGGGTGCCCTCAGACCTCTGCCATCCAGTCTCAGCTGGGTCTTCACTGCTGACTTCCTCCTCTGTCAGGAAGGGGTCTCCTCCCTGGGCCCCACGCCTCCAAAGATGATGAGTGAAGGAATAATGACTTGCATGGCCTGATGAGAGAATGAGTGAGTGAGTGAGTGTGTGAGCACATGGGTGAATGAGTGAATACACAAGTGAATGAATGATGAGTAATAAATGAGTGAGTGAGCGAATGAATGAGTGGATGAAGAAATGAATGAGTGAGTGCATGAGAAGGTGAATGAGTGAACATGGGTGAATGAATGAATGAATGAGTGAGTGAGTGGATGATTAAGTGAATGAGTGAGCAAATGAATGAAGGAACAAGCCAACAGGAGCAGTCAGGCAGAGCAGACCACCTGAGCAGGACAGGGTAGGGCCACTGAGGTGTGGCAGAGGTTGGGAGCCTGGAACCCACAGTGTGGAGTAGGGGAGGGGTGGGCATCACTGACCACTCCCCTGGCCAACCCCCCAGAGGCCCGCTGCACACCACGCCCGTGCCAGGCCTCGCGGGAACACAGGCAAGGGTCAGTCCTGGGCCCTGCCCCCAGGTCCTCGCTGGCTGCTGGGCCCTGAACACCCAGCATGCTGCCCGGGTCCGGCGGCCTGGGAATCTGGCAGAGCGGTCCATACTCCACTCACTCAGGCCTTCCTGGGGGTCCACGGCTCCATCCTCTCAGCCTGGTAACCTCGGGTGTCCGGGGTCGTGTGTCACCCCCTGTGTGGAGCCAGTATTCCAGGGACTGAGTTACTGCAGCTCCAGGGCGGTGAGGGGCCAGGGGTCAGTCTGTCCACTGAGCGCTAGTCACTAAGAACCCACCCGATGCAGCACATAGCGGGGTCAACCGGGCTGTCTGCCCCCATGGTCCCGTCTGGCAGGTGAGACGCCTGCCCGGAAAGGGGGATGTGGGTGGAGCCTGGCATGGTGGAAGAGCATGGCCTCTGGGTCACACAGTCGTCGCGGCCCAGCCCCCGTCTTACCCACTGTGGGCCTGGGCCACCTCAGTTTCCTGGTCTACGAAGTGGGGATCAGCTCACCTCAAGGCCCCTCGAGGGCACAAAGGCCGCTGTGACAGGACAGTTAACCCCCAACAGGCCCAACGTGAGAGCAGAAGGCACCCCACTGTGGGTGGCCCCTCAGAGCACCGTCGGCCCCAAGGGGGGCTTCTCTGCGCCCCTATACACCCTCCCTCAGTGCTCACCCCACCACAGCCCTCACAGCCGAGCTCCCGGGGACAGATCTTGGTCAGCCAAGGTCCATGCACACCCAGGGTGTAGCCACCAGTGACAGGGAGCAGACAAGTGTGACCCCGGTAGGTCCTTCCTGCCCTCAGGGTGTGACCTCACGGTTAACGAGTCCTGGGTGCCCACTGCCAGGCTCAGCCTGGCATTCCCAGACCCTCATGCCTACGGCTGCTGTCAAGGAGTCAGTGGGAAACAATTTGATCCCCAAGGTCCCTGTTATTCCCCTGGAGGCAGGGGACCTTCTCTGACCTCACGGGGTGCCCAGTAAAGCTGAGGATGGGGGTCCCAGGCCCTTGAATATATTCCCGGCTGTCATCATCCCTTGTGAAATATAGCTTCCTGGACCCAGGTGGGGTCCCAGGAAGGGACCCTTAGAATTTGGGCCCAGAAGACTCTCTGGGACCAAGACTCAGGGCCTCCTCCTGGCACCAGGTGCAGCCTGGGAGCTCCAAGATGCCCGGGGAGCCTGCTGGGCTGGAGGGAGGGCAGGCGTGGTGTCTCGGTCTGCAGAGTGGGTGAGAACCCTGCTTGTACCACCAGGACCCTCGGAGAAAGGTCCCTTGGTGACCCCGGGGGGTCAGGTGAGGAAGATACC